CATTAATAAAGTATCAAAAGCAAAAAAAAATTTTCTGAAACCAACTATTGCCTTATAAAACAGTTCTTATTGAATGTCGTTTATATGAAAAAGCAATTAATTACTTCTACAGTTACGATATGTAACTAAACAATTCTATATTGGTTTTTGATGTCCTTAAAAATTGGCTTAAATAATGTTTCACATCAAATCTGGCGACGATCTTAGACACAAAAAAAAAAGTTTATCTGATTTGTCTGTTATCTATCTGCTTTTTTTTGCAACTTGAAACAGTCCTGATAATCGACGGGGGGTACAAAATTTGCCAAATCTTTCCCCCTATAAATGGAATAAATTTCTTCTTTCTACCTTCTACCAAGAGAAATTTGTCGTAACGTCTAAACCGTTGGTTTACAGTATGATTCAGAAGACAGTAGCAACGATACGACCGACGTCTTCCATCATGCAGACCATCTTCTGACGCCTGCTCCATTTTTTGCAGTTGTCATATCTGAGAGGAGGCTCCAAAAAATTGACCAAAGATCTCTCTAACCCAGGTTAGGTTTGTTTTTTTTTTTTTTTGCTTTGGTAAAGGACATTTGTTTTTAGGTTTATACAATTTGATCTGTACAAACTTTTTTTCAAATATAACTTAAAAAAAAAAAATTATAAAAAAAAATATGCAGTTTAAAAAAAACATAGTCTTTTCATAATAAATCATTTGTTTGTGCATCAAAAATTCTTCGCCAAATGCCTATTTTTTGGCTGGCTTTTTCTTAGTAATAATCATTCATCACAAAACTGTGTATTACTTTAGCGGCGTATGTCAGTAAGACTCCCAGTATCTAAGAACAACGACTTCAGAAATCATGCGTGAGTACCTAATTAAAACGAGAGACTAATGTCACATCTGATGCTATATCAGATGTTGTTGCTCTACCGTTTTTATTTTTTAACAAATTCTAGACAACAATTTTGATCATTGCAGCGACATTTTAATATTACGAGGTATTTGAAAACAAAAAAAAAACCCCCACCAATTTCCCAGTAATGTGATTTCTATGTTTCTGGTTATTTTAGTTTCAGATGACTTTGACGTTAACCGGGAATAACTTTTTCTTCCAATCAATACAGTAGAGACCGTCAAAAAAAAAAAAAAATTTTCCTAACTATCAGACAGACAGTATTACAATATTTTTTTCAATAACTTAAAAAAAACAGAAGTGTACAATAAAGAAGACTTGTTTTTTTTTGGGAAGAAATTTGTAAATCTTTGAACTGTGCGATATTGCCAATTTTTTTTCCTTCTATAAAAAACTTTATTTAAAATAACCTAAAAGCACCTTTATTCGCAACGTGGATTAAATTCAGTTTCAAATGCTAAAAAAAAACTTAAGGTCAGGTTTTTTTCTTTTCAAGAAAAAACAAAAATTTGTTTTTTAGCATCAATAATTAATTGAAAAAATAAATGCTGAAACAGTGATAATCGAACAAAATTAAGCAAAAAAAATTTAGTAAAATTATATGGCATTACTGACAGTTTTGTATTAGCAAACAAACAAAAAAGCAATTTATTATGCCCTAAAAAATTATATTTATTTCAGATTTTTATAGTTTAAATTTAACAAAACAAAAAAAAAAACAATTTATTTTTATTATTACCAATTTTGTTGCATCTGCAAAAAAAAAACCGTTAAAGTAGTTCAAATTCTTTTCATTATCAACGAGAGAAGTATCAAATTGGAAATGCTAAACGTAGGTTAACGCTATTCATCTTTTACCCATTTACTGTTAATTGAGTTGTTAAGCAAAAAAAAAAAAAAAAAA